CTACTACGACGACTACTACTACTATACTGCTACTACTACTACTACTACTACTACTACTACTACTAGTACTGCTACTACTGCTACTACTACCACTACTACTACTACTTCTACTACTACTACTACTACTACTACTACTACCAATACCGCCACGACTCCTACGACGACGGCTTTTACGACACATCTCTACATGCATCCCCAGCCTGAAGAACTCAGGAAGCCCCTCTCCGACGTGACCAGCCTCTTGGGCGGAAGAGCATGATACGGACCACCTAGCATTTAGGGGAGATTCGAGTTCAGGGTGTTCAATAGCTTTTTGCCCCTGAACTCCGTGAGCGCCCGTCGGTCATCCTAAGGTTTCAAGGCAACTAGCACTTGCAGGGACACGAACCCTCATGTGGCCATTCTCAAGCATAATATTCGCCCAACATGTAGGCAGGAATCTCGCCGGCACTAAGGCATCGTTGTGACCGTTGCCGCCATCTCTTCCACTTTCGTAGGGTCTGCGGGGCTCTCAATCATTTCCAACGCTGTCTCTTACGCACTTGGGGAGGCCCGCTCGAGAGAGAACTAAGGCATGTTTGCATGCACCTACATAGCCGTGATTGCAGGCAGAGACCGACTCCCCCAAGGAGCTGTACAACGTAAAGAGGAAAGCAGCCGTGGGGAGCATCTACCTGCAGCTCCCATTGCTGAAGGCGAACGAAGGGTTATGGGTCTAGCTGTTTATTTTAAAATCTCGAAGCCGAAATCCGAAGCTACATCATTTACCTACTGAGCTGTCCAGCATGTGAGGAAAGCTGGATCAAACACAGTCACAGCCCCATCTTCCGCAAATCCCTCTGGTCTGTCCAAACCTGAGGTCCTTCTGCCCATGCTTCCACTCCAGTACCTTAATCCGTTGATCTTGGTGCCGAAGACGGATCACAGCGTGGCTTCCGCCTCCGGTGGCTGGCAGAGCACAGGCAACTACGTCAAGTGCCCGGTATACGACAACGATGTGATGATTCACATGGTCTATGGAGTGATGGTGATTCTTTTGATGGCCTACACATCTTACCACAACATGATCCTTTACCTCCCGTCAAGAGACCGTGATGTGGCGAGAGAGTTGCGGGAGGAGTTGGAGGTGAGACTCACTACCTCCTCAAGCAAAGAAGCATGGCAGCAACATGCTGAATTGCAAAATCCTTTTCGCAAAGTTCATCGGACGGTGTCCGCACGACTTTGTGCATAATTACACTGTTTAGCCTGAGTCCTCCTGTGGCATGTCGCCGCTTCAATAATTAGGCGACTTCCAGTAGTGTTCACCTAAAGAGAGAGAAGCAAGCTGAAGCGAAGCATTCAGAGAACCGCTAAGGACACCATGGATTCAATGGACTCTGGGCAGTGATGATGGCTTCCTGAGTCCCATGCAGTTTCACGCTTCTGGCAAAAGTTTCCCCGTGCAGCATCGGGTCGGTACAGCTTGTGGAGCTGGTTTGCAGAAGTCTGCTTGCTGAAAAGGCTATAGATGCTTCACTCCTCCAGCTGCTGCTGTGCATCATGTAAACTAGCACCTCAGTCACGACGTTGAACATGATACTGACGCTGTTAATGTTGATCAACGGATGGAAATGGCGACAACGAGTTTTACCTGCCGCCGTAGCAGCCACAGCAAAAACAGCAGCAGCAGAAGCAGCAGCAGCAGCAGCAGCAGCATCTTCACCGCCACCGCCACCACCACCGCGCCCCCGCCACCACCACCGCCGCCGCCGCCGCCGCCGCTGCCGCCACCGCCACCGCCACCACCGCCGCCGCCACCACCACCAGCAGCACCAGCACCAGCACCAGCACCAGCACCACCACCACCACAGTACCACCACCACCACAACATCAACCACAGCTCTAACAAGCCGCAACAACCAAGACCAACACAACAACGATACCAGCAGCCATAGCGTCCGCAACAATGACACCAGCTCCCTGAGTCTTTTACAAAGGTCCAGCATTTATGTCTCGGTTCCGGTGACGGTACTCGCCATCACAACATGACGTAGATCCCGGCACGAACCGAAGCAATAAGGGAAGTGCAGGCATTTGTATGCTCACATATTGTGTTACAGACACATGAATGACAGAGACATGGTGTCCGCACACACGTGTACACACGCACATACAGCTTCTCAGACTGTACACATGTCTGTATGTGCGAGCACGCGCAGTCGTCCTCTCGGCACATGTGTGGATGTGCATACAAGTGTTTGTGTTTCTGACTTTATGCTTGCATGCTTGTCCTTCTCTGTGTCAGTTTGTGTTTTTGTGTCACTCACCTCCTGTAGAGCAGCCTATAAAGACCCTGCTTGTAGCCGCAGCTGCAGTGTCCGTGCTGTGATGTGCTGTGAAAGTTGAAGCCAGGTCAAAAGCTCTAGGCCGCTGTGATCTGCGGTGCGTGTGCGTGCATGGTTCCCGATCCTGCATGGAACACACTGTGTTGTCTCTGGACTGTGGCTTCCGGATTCTGATTACGAGCAGGTGCACTGCACAACCAAGACAAGTCAAAGCTCACAATCTCTGTAGAGTAGGACGAAGGAGACCAGTCATGACGGCAAGACCATGATGAAGCATGCGATTTGGGTGGCACGAAACCCGAAGCCAGTGGTGAAGATGATGGAAGATGATGGGTGCGAGACTTCTCGAACTCGTGGTAGGACTTACGCTTTCAATCTCTGAAGTTCGACAAAGGCATAGTACCCCTTATAGAACCCTTGTAGTAACTTTATAGAAACAGATATAGCAACCCTTACAATACTGTACCCCTTATAGCGACCCTAAGCCCTAAACTTCCCGAGGTTCGACCGAAAGCCTGCGCTGAGCTTTGCCGCCATAAGTTGAGAGTTTTCGGGGTTCAGGAGTTCAGGGTTCAGATGCCGAAGCTTCCCGGATGGATTCTTGAATAGTGCTGCTGAGGATAACACTGTCAAGTGTTAGCCTCTGTTTTCTCTTTCTGTCATGAGCGAGCCTTGTGTTGCTGCAGTATGGCAACGGCTGACCGCCTCGGTTTCAATACGTGTCACGCATGAAGTGAGCTGTGCTTTGGAACTGAAGACCTTTCACAGTCCGCTGGTGCTGCTTGAGAACAAAAGCTGCAAGCCTCCGCCGGTTGACAGCTTGAGCCCGCGTGCAGTAAGCGAGCGCCGTGTCGAGTTCAATCCAGTCAGCCGGTGGAATAAGTCTTTGCAATTTTGGTCGTTTTGCGAGCACGTTTTTCGCGTGGCAGCTTGCTCGACGACATGCACCAGCGCTTGCTTGAATCTGCCGAGCCCTCAAATACCTGTCAGTTTGCAACATCAAAATCACCCTGGTGCCACACTTCGCTTTGTTCGGGGAGCAACTTTATCGTTGTCTTGGGCTGCTTTTATGTCACTGTGGCGAGAGTATTATGCCATGTGCTTGAACACTAGTTTGGCGGTAATTGTATGCATTGATTTCTGTAGAAGTGTAAGGTCGCATGGCTATTACCGTTGGCCACGCAACCGACGCAACCACTATTTTGCACATGGTCAGTTGGCCGTGTGACAATGTGCGTGCGGCTGTGGATGATGTTCGTTTCCATTGCAAACACCATTATGATGGTCATATATATATATATATATCAGAATCTTGATCATGGGTTGGTCGTGGTCCTCGTCATCGTCTCAACCCTGTAGGCTCTGGATGAAGTGATCCAGAGGTTGGGTTCCCCAACCTCGTGGGGTCTAGGTCCGTTTGTTCTGAAGGGGCCGCTCTCCATGACCCAAGTCCCCATGCTTGTTGATTTGGTGGTGTTGCGTAGGTCAGACGATAGCACTTGATCAGCGGCTCACTCTGTCAGGCCGTCGATACAGTCCTTGCCTGTTCTGTCCGAGTCTGAATGTCGACCACCCATAGAAGCCCTGAGCCCAAAACCACCGCAATAGAGTCCTAAACCCAAATTATTCAGACACAACCCTATATCCGAAATTGGCTCACTAGAATCCGACGACATAGTCAGTATATATTATAGCCATTATAGTATGTCATAGTATACCCCTCAGGACACCGTCACCTTGAACTCAGCGGCAGCAGCCTGCGCCCGAAGCTCCGAGTGGGTCCAGGCTCGGCTAAGAGTTGGGCCGGGGTGGGAGGTTCAGCGGTTCAGGGCTTAGAGTTTTTTGTTTAGGGTTTAGGGCTTGGGGTCTAGCTTTTATGGTTTAGGGCCCCAAAGAGTCCTCAGTACCTATATTATGGTGATATTTATCCAAGCCATAATATTGTTTAACAGTAGTCAGTAGTTCCTACTATGGAGGCTCTACTTTCTATCAAAGGAATTGTTTGGATCCCTCGGCATCCTTGGGGGTTGAACCTGGCTAGACGTGAGCTCCTTGGGAAACAGCGGTTTAGGGCTTAGGGAGTCATGGGCTTACAAGGGTTTGTATGACGTTGCTTGTAGGGGGTTTTCATAAGGGCTTTTAAGGGTTGAAGGCTTTACAGGTTGGTGATCAGTATTGGTTTCAGGGTCTCATGAAAAAACTGACCAAGGGTCACAGAGTCTCAGAGTGTATTGACTTCGGATCGCTGCTGCCATATATGCCGTCGAGTCGACATTTGCCTCTCGGCCTGTCGATTGTCTCGCAGTCTCTCATAAATTTAAACCGCTCGTTAAAGGTTTCGATAATAAGATTTCTAGTTTGTCTCGAAAAGTTGTCCACTGAACCGACTGGTCAAAGTGCGAAGACCGAGCAAGGCAACACTTAAGTCCCTTCTAAGCTGGGGTGACTGCGCCCCTATGTTTTCGATTCGTATATCGATGTTGCTAGCCGGAGTCAAGGCGAAACTTGCTGTTGGGTTTTCATGTTTGCTGATATTAATATCTTACATCTCCACTGCGACCCAGAATTCCTCCGCAGGCTGCTTGTTCTAGACTTGGCTCTGATTTTGCCAGACCTCTTCTTGCCGAGGCCCTTAGCATCCTCCAATCCTTTCCAACCCGGCGGATTGGCAGAGACAGGACAGCTGAGGGTTTTGAACTGCTTGCTGGGCTTCCTGAGGGTTCAGGATTCGAGGAGGCATTAAACTACTTCGAGTTTGGAGCACGCGAATACGAGGTTTCAGGGAACCATCAGCACAAGCGTGCGGACTTCAACACACGAACAAAGTCTGCTTTCCTGCTGGGAGCACCGACTTCTCCTACATCGCGCTGCAAAACCTCTTTAAGAGCTTTTGCACTCTTACATCATGTCTGGCAGCTCCACAGTATTTCTCAGCCTCGGGCCAGCTGAGCTCGCAGCTTTTTGGTTTATCCTCGCCATGTCCTCAACATGTCGAATTCGCAAGGGGAGCCTGGTTGGTAGGAAGTGGGTAGCTATCTGCAGGATCAGCTTCAACTCCGTCTTGCCGGCGCCTTAAAGTTTGGGAAGACCAAGTTGGACATAGACCAACAAAAACGGAGACGACAGAGACAAGCGAGTGGAGGCGGCACTGGTCGATGTTTGATTGCAGAATATTGCAGAGCAGGCCTGCCTACTGTAAGCCCCTAGCCTTAAATAACAAAACTCTGCATGCATCCGTACTTCCCGACGAACTTGTGACGTCGGCCGCCTCGAGGAGCCGGTGAATTTCTTGTGAAGCCGAGTTAAGACGCTCCAAAACAAACTCCACGCCACGTAATTTCCATACATCATGCATACTGCATACTTACTTACCTGCGTACGTACACATCAGATATCAATATACATGCACATCATTCGCAGGTACATGCAGTGTTCAATTCCTTACGGTATTCAAGCAGCTCATCTACATGAACGGTCAAATAAGTAGACAGATAGAAGCCTCACGCTCTTGCCCTCGCCGTCTTTCGCGCTATCTCTCTCTCTCTATGTCTCTTGCTTTACTTACATGTACATGTATATATATATGTATATACATATATACATATATCCTTTACGTATGCATACGCCGATTATACAAACACACACATACAGCTCATGTCATGCGCGCGTACATATTGGCTTTTTGTTTGTATACAGTAAAGAGAGAGAGAGATATATATATATATAAACAATATATGTATATATATATATACATATGTATGTGTGTGTATGTACACATACGTATATACCGCGCACCAGGCTCGCGTGCGAGCGGGCCGCCCTTTGGCAATTGTCGCTGGCGCTGCTGCAGGAAATGAGTTCAGATGGTCCTGTGCCCGTTAATAGTTTTTCTTGTTCAATCCAGGCGTATGGAGTCTCCGAACAGTGCAAGTCCTGATATCAAGGCATTGCTCCTGACGAGATCTCATTCAACACAGTCCTCGGGTCTTTGGACAAGGCCTGAGGAGAGCTAGTTGAGATCCAATTGTTGAGGGTTAGCTGTAAGGGGTTTGGTGAACCGATCACAGGAGCCGGAGCTTTCAGAATTCTTACGAGCTTGCTTGGAAAGTCCTCGTTACTTGTGTTGTGACGATTCGCACTACGACTTGAGCATGTTCTCGTCAGTGGTATGAAGGCAGCAGCAGTCGTCGTCGCAGTGGTAGTAGTAGTAGTAGTAGTAGTGGTAGTAGTAGTAGTAGTAGTAGTAGTGGTAGTGGTAGTGGTAGTGGTAGTGGTAGTGGTAGTAGCAGCAGTAGCAGTAGCAGTAGCAGTAGCAGTAGCAGTAGCAGTAGCAGTTGCAGTTGCAGTTGCAGTAGCAGTAGCCGTAGCAGTAGCAGTAGCAGTAGCAGTAGTAGTAGTAGTAGTAGTAGTAGTAGCCGTAGCAGCAGCAGCAGCAGCAGTAGCAGTAGCAGTAGCAGTAGTAGTAGCACTGGTAGTTGAAGTTGCTGCTGCCGCCGCCAGTAGACGTAGTTGGTCTCTCTTTTCAGTAACGGTGGCGC